AAGAAAATAAAATAAATTTTAAAAGAGTTTATGTAAAACTCTAAACAAATTTTTTTTTTTTCTTAATTGGTGATGTATAAATAAAAATATATATATATTTACAGATGCACAGAAGGCATACCCTCAGAAAAAACAAACAATTAGAAGATTGAAGTTAACTCTAACACAAATTACTGATTTATCTATTTATTGTGAGTTTTTTAATTAAAGAAAATCTAATTAGACAAGAATTATTAATATAAAAAATATTTATTAATTGATATAAAAACTACAATAATTTTTCTAACACTCTACCATAAATTACCTTTTATTATGAGTTTTTTAGTAAAAGAAAATCTAATTAGACAAGAATAAATATATTTAAAGAAAATAAATAAATTCTATAAAATTTTACCAAAAATTACTTATTTTATTTTCAATAAAACTCTATCACATTAGACAATGATATATTAAAAAGTTTCTATAAAACACTAACACAAATTATCTAAACTCTACCACAAATTAACTATTTTATTTTCTTTAAAACTCTATCACATATAACCTCTATTTATTTATTTATTATGAGTTTTTTAATAAAATGAAATATAATTAGACAAGAATATATTTAAAGAAAATAAAACAATTTCGATAAACCTCTACCACAAATTACCTATTTTATTTTCTATAAAACTCTATGACAAATTATTCTATAAAACTATACTACAAATTACCTATTTTACTTTCTATAAAACTCTATCACATTAAACAAGAATATATTTAAAGAAAATATATAATAATATAATAATACATATAAATAAAATATAAAAGTGTAAGGAGTTTCTGCATTTTAGTATTAATTTTTTAGTATAAAAAATATTTATTAATTAATAATATAAAAAGAGAAATCTATCACATATAATCTTTGTATTTATCTATTTATCATAACTTGTTTAGTAAAAGAAATTCTAATTAGACAATGATATATTCTAATAAAATAAAATAATTTTTATAAAATAATTAAAAAATATATGAAAAGAAAAATTCGATAAGTTACAAAACATTGATCACGTGCATCGCACGTTCATTTTCCTAGTATTATTAAAAGTATATAGAATTTTCATCCAATTTTTATAGAAAATAAATATGCTATATTATATATTATTAAAAGTACATAGAGTTTTCATCCAATTTTGAATTTCTATCATATTTTGAGTTTGTATCAGCATCTCTAAGAGTCTATTAAAATAATCACGTATGATGTGTAAATTTTTTTTTATCTTCATCGGTATGTTAAAGATACATTTTAGAGCATCTAGGCAAATCTAGGAATTGGGGTCTACGCTCTTTAAGAGCAGAACAAACCATGGGATACAATTCGAAAGGTAATAGGATGCGCAAAAATAGCATAACACGAATCAAGTTTCTTTATTCTTGCCTCCATATGCATTTTAGAAAAAAGAATGCGTAAAATTGTTGTGTATTTTACACAACCTTGATACAGTGTTCAAATGTATAAAATTGTTGTGTATTTTATATAATATTTTTACACAGTCATATCATTATATTTCTTTTCTCCTTTCTCTTTCTCATTTCATTAAAGAATCAACTCTATATTAAATAGGTTTGTAAAAGTTATGTGGGGTTTGACATGACACTTGGTTTGTTGTTATTGGAGGATACATTTTTACACAAAAGCTATAAAACAAGAGCTAAAAATAAATAATTTAAAATTTTTGCATAAATCTATCATGACACATTAGATTTATACATACATACACACACACACACACACATGCACAACCGTCGGAGATGCTCTAAGAGAGTATTTAGAAGATAGTTTCTATAAAACTCTCACATTTCTCCACCATTGCTTCACTAGCTAAACTATGAGCAGCATCATTTAGGGGTGGCAATTTGTGTTCGCGGATTGTAATCGTGTCGTATTGACTTAAAGATATTACACTACATAGCTCAACTCGAATACGACCTGTTTAATAACCGTATCATAAATTCTTAAAACTAACCTGACCTATTTATTAAACGGGTTACATTTATAACTCGTTTAATGACTTATTTATAAAAACAAAGCATTGTGGGCCTATTTGACTGAGCTTTCTAAAGGCTTCAAACGGGCTTCCAAGTCCAAAAAGCCTGTTTGTGAAAATTATGTGTTTGGCAAAATATTTGAAACAAACTTCCAATGAAATCGGAAGTCATTAAAAGTCCGTTCCAACGAAACATATAAAACTTGCTTTCTAAACTCACATTTCAGAAAGCCAACACCTCATTTTAAGTAAATGATTGCATAGATGATTTTGCCCCCTTTATTTCCTGAAACTAGTCGACGCTAAAAGAATAACGATGCTACACAAGAAAGCGAAAGAGTTGCAAACCCCCTTCAGATTCCTATCTTGAAACAATTCTTACGAATCTGGGAGTGCTAACTGCTAAATTTATGTAAAGTAAGGGTTTTGAAGATCGATCAACATATTTATGTGTGAAGTTAGGGGAGAAGCACACAAAGAATATACTCATGTGTTATCCTCCAATTCTATATATTAATATGGATTTTTAGTTTAAGAGAATGAAATTGAGTATTGCTACACTCCTATTCATGGTATCATTCTTAATCTTCTTAATCTGATTCCAACGTTTGTCCTATTTGCCTCTACCATATAGTTCAAGTCTGAATCAATGTTTTAGATATGTTGCTCCATCTCTCTAGATTTATGTGGGCCAATGAATAAATTTGTAGTGTACAAATTAACCAAAAGTCTAGCAATTACAAATTCAACAAAAGTCTTTAGCAATTACAATTTTAGAGGGACTCTAATATTCTAATTCTATATATATATATATATATTATATTTCAGTTTTCGTCACTCAAGTAATCTTTCAAGACACATATTAATTTCCAACACCTGCAATTTTGTGAGATGCCGATGTATGATACGGGTATTGTTGTTTAATGTGTTCCTTTCATATCACACTCCTAACTTTTTTTTTTTTTTTTTTTTTTTCATCTTTGATTTTCTGCTTGTCCATTCAATTTATAGATATACTCTTTTCATGCAATTTAGATGATTCAAACAAAATAAGAACATGTCAATTAAAACTAAAGAGCAAATGATCTTAAGCCTTTTAACTCCTTGTCAATATAACTCAATGCGAAGACAACTTATAAATTTTATGACTTAACGACGTTGTTTAAATAACAGTTTCAATTTCTCTTCTTCTTTCTTACTTGAATGTAATAGCATGTAATATGAATTCATATTGAAAAAGAAAAGTGAATAGAGTTTCCCCTCCCTTTTGATTTAATTGGAAATATATCAAAGTCCAAAGCAATTTGCACAGCAAGTCCACATGGATGTAAGGATTCCTGGACTTGATATGGATGTAAAGATTCTTGGGTTTGTTCTTCACCACTTATGATGCTCATCAAATAAAGATGGGGGAGAACAACTAGTTTACTCGCCATTAATTCCAGACCAAAAGTTAAGTAATTATAATTTACCAAAGTTTTTTTGTTTCTATTTATTTGAAGTTGGTTGCATGAATTTTGTTTTTATTTTTGGGGAAAAATGGCTTGTTTATCATGTATATTTTTACTATCTCATAACATTATTAGAATATGTTGGAAAATATTAATGGCAATACTATGTGGTTTTTGGGATGACAAAACACTGGTGCTAATATGATTCAATAATTGTATTTGATGTAAGATATGTAAATATTATGTAAGGTTATTATTGTAAATTTATAATTATTTAATAAGGACTTTTCCACACATTGTTTCCAAACAAACATAATGTGAATAAAATCACTTTTGAAGCACTTTTCGACATGATGCTACCAAACAACTTCTTATTCTCAAATTTGTTTTTGTAAAGTCATTCTTGTAAGCCCTTTATAATGAAAGGACTTTTTGCATCAAGAAGCCTCCCCAAGTACAACCTATATCATTTAAATTATTAAGAATACTCAATAAAACAATAAATACTAAAAAAATATATAAGTTTCAATTCAATCAAATTACTAAATAGTTTCTAGTTTACAAAAAGAGCAAAATTATAAGGGACAAGTTTAGATAATAATTTTGGAATTTATATAGAAATTGTATGGTTAAACTAGCCATTCTTTATATACAAATAGGTGGAGTACATCAAGCCTTAAATTAAGGAGTACAGCAAGTCTTAAATTAAGGAGAAAAGTAAGCTAAAATAAAGGAAAAAATAAAGACCATTTATACACAGGTTGAACACTTAAACTCACACAACACGATTAATTAAACGGGTTAATCGTGTTAACCCGTTTACGATCCAAACCCAACTCAAACTCGCTTAACTCGTGTCGTGTTCGAATCGTGTTGGCGAATTGTGTCAAATTTTGCCACCCCTAGCCTCATTCACATCTCTAGATATAAAAACCAGATCAAAAGACTTCTATTGCGGAAGAACAAATTTAATATCTCCAATAGCAGTAGCTACCCGAATAGAGGAAAACTGCATTTTCTTCACTGCTTGAACCACCATGTTCGGGTCATGACTCGAAAAAAACCACTTTGAAAGAAACATGGTTGAAGAAGAAAAGGCCAAAGGTTTACTCCATTTTGAAACTATTCAATATTCTCGAATTTCTACCCGTTTTTGAACATTTTTAACAAGGTTTAATAACATGGTGTATGGAAAAGTCATGCGAGGTGAAAAAAGGTAAATTTTTCTGATTGAAGACTTGTGGAGAGAAGTGAATTAAATGTGTGAAATTGTATTAACAAATCAATACGTTATTTTTAATTGAATTGATAGAATTGGAGAAAAATAATTAAGAAAATTAAATCTATTTTTTTTTTTAATTTCACCAATTTTAATTCTAAATGTCCAATTTCATATAGCCGAACACAGAGCTTTTTGATCTTTTGCTTTGTTGTTGTAATCTCAGTGAGAAGAAGAAACAATAAGCTCGCATTTTCTCTTCCAGTCCAATCTGCTTCATCCGATTAGGGAAGCCAAATAGTATACCGCAAACATAATAACTACGGATATCAATGAAATAAACATAATACCGCAAAAGATCAAGCAGTTTTCGGAGTAGCACGCGCACAAATGCGTTTCATTCTCCTTGACTCCACACTCGTAGCAAAACTTGGTCCCACATCTACATTCCAAAAGATTCAAAATTAAGAATTAATGACCTTAATTAAGCAAAGTAGTTTTATAGAACTCTTATACAGAAGGTAATTCTTTGGAAAAAAAATACTCGAAATATATACTTGTATGGGTTATATATGCTTTTATATATATATATATATATGGAATTATTACGAATAATTAGTGTTATGTAAGTATAAAATTGAAGTTAGAAGGATATGAAAAAACATTATTCATTTATTCAAACTACTTCTATTATTTCATGTACCCTTGCATGCACGTACCATATTTTTTTGCCGACCATGTCATCATATACCAATTTTTGTGCAGCATAAAAACTTTTGTGCACAAAATCCCTGCTCCATCAGTAGTTGTTTTCGAACCGTCAAAAATGTGACATAACAGGGAATTAACTAGCTCAACACACCAACCCTCCCTCGAAACGGGAACAAGTGATAAGGCAACAACTAAAGTAGGTTAGACCACTGCACTTCTTCTATAAGCCCGTTTAAGAAATTTACCAAACATACAAATTTTTTTGGGAATGACGTTTTGAACTTGGAAGCCGGTTTTGCAGCCCCAGGAAGACACGCCAAAAATTTAAAAAAGAAAAAAAAAAAAAAAAGAAAAAGAAAAAGAAAAAAAGGAGAAGAAATAGGAAAAAACTGTTTAACCATTAAGAAATGGGTAATGCCCATCTTTAAACTTTTTTGTTTCTTAAACATCAGATAAAGGATGAACTGCATTCTCCTCAGGAGGATCCAAGTATTGTCTTTAAATATAACTCCTCCATACAAAGAGATAATTTCAGCATTTGATATATATATATATATATTGAAAGATCACGATTTTAACTCAAATAAATATGAATTCATAAGTCTATGAATCCCTAATAATCAATATATATGTATAAAGAGATAGAGTACCTGCATATAATATTATTGCAACCTTCAATACGTTCAATGCAACTGCCGCACTGTGGACACCTCTTCCAGTAACTATTCTCCAAAAGCACTCCAAACTGAATATCATTAGTATCTCTCCGCTCTCCGCTCTCTTCACATCGATAGCCGAAGTGCCATGGAAGTTTGCAGTGGAAACAGAACATCGTTTTGCACTTGGGACACACTGATTTCGTAACACGCCCTCCACATTCGTTCACAACCGGAGCCGAGCAATTCGGATTCGGACAGTAACATCTTTCAAACCCTAGAACCGTCGAGTCGCAGAGCTTGTCGCACCACTTGTCGAACAGTTTCGCAGGCACAACCGGCCTGCAAGAGAGAGGGTCTAACAGCTGCTCGCAGTCCAGTGCCGGACACGGGACGTCAGCGGCAACATTGTCCTCCACCTTGGCTTGGATGTACTTGATCATGCAATCTGTGCAGAACGGGTGAACGCACCGGTTCTGGTTCTTGAATTTCTTGGTTGATGACGATAACATGGGTTCGAAGCATATCTCGCAAGTGAAAGTTGTTGGTGCTTCGTCTTCTTCGCGAGGCCTCTCTTGGTTTTGCCGGAGCTTTTGCTCTGTGTTTCCCATCGTCTACGGTATTATTAAGTAAAAAGTGTTTCAAATACATAAAAAGTGCTCAATTACTAGTAGAATACTAACTTAACTACACTTCTTCATGAAAATAACTGACCCTAAAATTTTAAATTAATTATATATATAAAGTATATTCCTCCGCCCTATCAACCACTAATATGCGAACATAACTCTAGAAACATAAACATAAACATAAACATAAACATAAACCGCTAAACCCTAAAAGATTAATTTAAAAGAATCTAAATTTCATATCAAGGAGCTACCGCAAAATCTGTGTCTAAAATTTTGATTATGGGGGTTTTCTATTGGCACAAGAAACATCAGAATTATTAGATTGGCAGAGGTTCTCGGACTATATATATATATACAGGGGCAGAGCCAGAAAGGAAATTAAAATGAGAAAAAATAATTTTTTTAAGGAAATTAAAGGAATTTAAAAAGCAACAAAGAAAAGAAATACAAAATTTAAGGGATAATTTTAGAAAATAAAAATTGTAATGGGACATTATTTGAATTTTTTCATATATATATATATATATATATAAATTTCATATCAAAGAGCTACCGCAAAATCTGTGTCTAAAATTTTGATCATGGGGGTTTTCTATTGGCACAAGAAACATCAGAATTATAAGATTGGCAGAGGTTCTCGGACTATATATATATATATAAATTTATATATATAGGGGCAGAGCCAGAAAGGAAAGTAAAATGAGAAAAAAATAAGTTTTTTAAGGAAATTAAAGGAATTTAAAAAGCAACAAAGAAAAGAAATACAAAATTTAAGGGATAATTTTAGAAAATAAAAATTGTAACGGGACATTATTTGAATTTTTTCATATATATATATATATATATATATATATATAAATATATAAATTTAGTATATGTATTATAATAAGCGGGCTAGTACCCCCCGCCCCGGCATACACCGGCTCCACCCCTCTATATATACATATAGATATTATTATGTTTGCACGTGTAGTTAGTCATACATGACTCTGCATAGTCTCTGTTCGTAAGTAGTTTTTTTGATAGAGAGTTCTTCATCTATGCAATTTATCATTTACTTACTTGGAAAGGGAAAAAAAAAAAAAAAAATTGACAGGTAAAATTACTATGTCCTCCATTCATACATTCTCCAGGTTATTCTCCTATAACGAATTCAATTTATAATAAAAGATAAGTTATTCTCACCGGGGGTTAGATGGCATGAAATATGTGCTCTAAGCCTTCAACTGATAATTAAAATTCTAATGAGACATGGAAACGTAACATCAATGTATCAAATAACACTTTGAAATGACAAAAACAAATGTTTTTCACATATCTAATTTACATGAAAATGGCTTTAGACATATTAATAATACACTTCATGATTTTGATGAAAAACACATATTACTTGGTAATCAAATTTTATTGTGTAATATTAAAATTTTCAGTGATTACTTTATAAGTGTGACTGATAACTCTACATTACCCATCACAAAAAATAAAAGGTTAACTTAAAAGAATCTGAATTTTATATGAAAGAGGTTTTTGCTTATTGGTAGTAGTGAATGTTAAAGCAAAGTAAACGAAATTATGACATTCACTTTATAAATTTACTACTGTAACAGTCAAGCCCTTGGCCCATCTCTTAACATGCTACAATACCTTTAGCCTAAATTTTTAACTATATAATGTAATACCATGATATTTTAAATGATTTATTAATTAAAATTAATTACTTTTATTTTATTTTTAAATGATTTGTTTGATTTATTTCGGTTTAATTACTTTTATTTTTATTTTTAAACGATTTGTTTTATTTAATTGAGTGCTTAGATTAATTATCTTATTATAATTAGATTATATTTTGTGATTTTATTTGTTAATTGATATGGTGTTTTACTTTGTGAAATGCTATGATTGAATTGTTTATTTGATTTGTGTATATTTATATTTGTGTGAATTGTTTGTTAATTATTTATAATTATTAGATTTAATTTCATTATTTTAAATTATTTTATTTTAATTGGATTGGGCTTAAGAGGAGTGGGACCAAAGAATGTGGTTTTGGGCTTGAAGGAAACCTTGTTGGGTTAATTAATAAGGGCCCATAGTTATAAAGATATTTAAATAATTATCTTTCCATAATATTATATATATATATATATATATATATATATATATATATATAAATAAATAATTAATTAATTAATAATTATTATAGAATATATGCATGATTTAATTAGTTAAGGATTAACATGGAAGGAAATATACATATATATATTATATAATATATGTGTATATATATTATTTAAAATGATTATTATTTTATTATTTTATTTGGTAATCATAGTTGGAATATGATTTGGATTTTTAATGTGTATAAATATATACATAAGACTTTAGGGTTAAATGGTTACACGTTAGAAAAATAAGAGATGCAGAGAGAAAAGAGGAGAAGGCTGACAAAGAGGAGGCCGGATCAGAGGAAGAGGACGTCAGGATTGGAAGAGACAATCAAAGTTTGAGACGTCGGTTTCATTTTAAAACTTTCAGGCGAGTTTTCTCTATTTTTCCTCTTAGAACTAATAAATATTTCACCTTGAGTATTAATGTTTTAGATTGAATTTATTAATTAATTAATATAGGTTGTATATGTTTAAAATTAATTGTTATGCTTGATCTATGACCCAAGATGGTTATTTAGGGTTTATAGAGCTTTTGGGAATTTTCTGTAATTTTATAGAATTTTCTGGTATTTTTCTATATTTTTAGGAATTTATTTTCCTATTATTTGTTTGAAAAATTATATATATATATATATATATATATATATATATATATATATATTCACTAGAGGCTTAAGTTAATCGACGCATCAAAAAGGGGTTTTTGGTTTAGTGTGGTGCAATAGACTGTAGCTTGGTGTACAATTGAATCAGAGCCATTGAGTGTGAAAATAATAATGGATGGATTCAGTGCATTACAGCACATGATAGTACCATGCGCATTCGGATTTGGGCCATTCGAGTGTGCTGATGAGGGATGGATGATATGGTGAAACGCGGTGCATGTAAAGCTGGTGTGCGCATGCATCTAGACCATAGATGCGGTCCAGTCAGCATAAAGTAATCTGGTGTTGGCAAGTGCACCATAACACAGAAGGATGGCCAATACGAGCAAGCCATCACACGCCGCGAGTGGGTAAGCGCGTGAGGGCACGTGGCAGTGCGTGGAGGCGCCTGCCAATGGGTAGAAGCGCATATAGCAAGTGAAGGCGTGTGGGGCATGTGCAGAGGTGTTTGTGGTCCAAAAAAGCTCCTGTGGGGTCCAGTGAATTTTCAGAATTGATTTTTAAGCTGTTAGGGTTGAAAGCAACCATTAAAGGATACGTTCGTGGTGTTTTGAGAGTCATAAAATATCACTACGGTATTTAATGTACGTATATATATTTAATTAATAATTGGGAATAAAAGGAAGTGTGTATATATATTATATGTAAATATATCAATTAATTAATTTATGATTAGTATGGAAGGTGTTATACACGCGCGCACACACACACATATATATATATATTAAATAATATATGTGTATGTATATATTATTTAAGATGATTAAATTATTATTCTTATTTGGTATATCTTGATAAGCTGATTGTTAAATTATTAATATGCTTATAATATACATGGAATGCCTATGTATGATTTGATTTATGGTTAAATTAGTTTTTAAGTTTGGTACATGGTTGAATTGTAGGTATGGATGAATTGCCAAACGCTTAAATATATTACCTTATTATTTGTATGAATAAAATACATACATAGGAAGTATGGATGAATTGTTAATTTAAAAGTATAAATATATACTTAAGAAGGCATGGTTGAATTGCCAATATATAAATAAATATATTTATAATGGCATGGTTGACTTGCTAAAACATAATTAACTTGTTATATTTTAGATGATTAAAATTTCATCTATGGCTATTGTATGTATAGGTTGGACTAGGATTAGATATTCTTAGATTAGAATAATCTAGGTTAGTTTATTATTTTATATATATTAATAAAATAATATTGGTGGAGACATGGACGATTTGTCAAAGCCTAAAATTGGCTGTGTGATTTAAATAATTAAATCATTATTGGGTTTAAATTGAATATATTATTATTTAATTATATTGTTTAAATTATTAAATAACTGACTAGGATAAGATTTAGGTTAAAGGAGTTTCTTTTTAAAAGAAATAATGGATTGGTGAATGTATGATTATTATTTTAATCATTATTTAATGGGTTTGAAAATTTAATGAACCTATTAATAGATGTGATTAGTGTAGTATTTATAATTATTTATATATGTGTGTATCATTGTATATTAAAGATAAAAGCTTTATTAGGTTTGGTTTTGATCAGAGATGATCTGCTTATTGGTTTTCAGAGGCCTGGTAGAGAGAGCTTGCTCGTAGGATTTAACCTGTAATTTATTTTTCAGGTTATTAGAGGTTCCAAGTCTCAAGGTCGAGGATCCGTAGCTGGAGGACTTATCCATTCTTTCAGTTTATTCCAAAGTAGGATGATAGACTAGCTTATTTTATTTATAATTGACTGGATTATTAAATAATGTTTTTAGGGGTCCTTTCATTACGGGATTCTTGAGTTGTAATTTTGGAGAAGTGTTAATGAAATTATTATTTAATAGTTTTTTTCAACGTATTATTTATTCTTTTTATTTCTTTTTGTAATCTGTGCTTGTTTGAAATACTTTAATTGTTTTGATATCCCTTAGTCTCGTGCGCAGACTTGATCAACCTGTGTTTCAAAAACAGGGGGTATCACATTCAATATTTAGGTCTTAAAGTTTTCAGAACTACTAACCAATTCCGCACATTGATCTTACTTTTTCAATTTTATCCCTATTCCAAACAAATTTTTTTTTTCTTTTTTTTAAAAAAAAATTCAAAAAATCAAGCAATTGTTATAGATATAAAGATATAT